GGTTCTGGGCAGTCCGAATGACCGAGAGGGCTAAGCTGATCTCGGCATTTACCTGTCCATTCGGGCATTTCCAATGGGTACGCATGCCATTCTGGCTGAAAACGCCCCACTAATCTACCAACAGATGATTAATAATTGCCTGTGGGGTTTTGTGCGGCTATCACCCGAGGAGGAAGCACTCGTGGATCAGGACGTGTTAGACTACTTGAAGCTGGATCCTCAGTCGCCGAGCGATGAAGTGAATGTAGGGCGTAGTATGACACCACTTGTGGAACAAATGACGGTTTTCAGGCGTAACATTCCCGCACCATCCCAAATGGCGCCAGTCTTGGGGCGCAGTTCATACATTGATGACATCGCGCATGGGGCGGCCACGTGAATCAACTATGCGGTGATCTAGATGCGTTGTTCTATCGGTTACGGTACTGGAGTATATCAGTTAGCTTGCCTAAGAGCGAATTCGGGAAGCGTTCCATACCATATCTCTCTCATGAGATTGGTGCTGAATGAATACGTGCCACCCCGAAGATCATAAAAGGTATTCAGGAATTACCCTTTCCATCTACCCTGAAAGGAGTCCAGTCATTTCTAGGCAGCCTGAATTACTACCACAAATTCATTGAGGATTACGCCGTGGTAACCGCTTCACTCTATGAGTTGACCGATGATCAAGTGCGCGCAGGACGGGACTTGTCTCGGACGAGGGAATCTTTCGAGATCCTGAAGAGGAAGATTGTGTCTACACCTCTACTCAAACACCCGGATCGAACGAAACCTTTTGTGATCATCCCTCATGCGAACCAGTGGGCAGCTTGTGCAGTTCTAGGACAGATGCACGATGGACTTGTTCAACCTGTTCGATTCACGGGGCGCGTCCTGAGTGACGTCGAGCTCAAGTATCATATTGCTGAGAAGGAAGTCCTTGCTGTAATGCGGGTTCTCCATGTTTTCAAGACCCTGATCGAAGGATGTCCGCTGATAATCTACACTCGACACTCAGTGTTGAAGTGGGTCATCAATTCCAAGACCGCCGAGGGCCGTCTGGTGCCATGGGGTGTCGCGCTCTCACAGTACGACTTGGAAATTCGAAAGGTCTGTCGAGATGAGGATGGCCTAGCCGCCATTATGGGCGCAGGTATCACTCCCAGGGAGCACTTGGATGAAGTCGCCGAAGTACTCATTCCAGCCAAGGGGCGCGTCAAACCGCCTCCAGTCGTGAGTATCGAAATGCTCTCAGCAGCGTACTCCGGAGTAGTCCTGAGTTTCGATGGTGCGGCCAAAACTTCCACGAGGAAGGGCAGCTGCGGATGCATTCTGTGACAGCTACCTGAATGGAAAATTTTGGATGCTCGAGGCTACATCCTGGATGGAGTCACCGTCAATGACGCGGAGTACTTCGGGTTGCTTAAAGGGTTGACAACGGCAGCGTACTCCGGAGTAGTCCTGAGTTTCGATGGTGCGGCCAAAACTTCCACAAGGAAGGGGAGCTGATGATGTATCCTGTGGCAGTTACCTGAATGGAAGGTCTTGGATGCCCGAGGATACATCCTGGATGGAGTCACCGTCAACGACGCGGAATACTTCGGGTTGCTTAAAGGACTCGCGATGGCTTTGGAAAGAGGAATTCGGGACATACTCGTTGTGGGTGACTCGAGAATTGTGATTCAACAAGTCCAAGGTCGGATTAATTGTAATCAGCCTAATCTCCAAAGGAGGCTAGCTGAATGCGAAACCCTGAAGGAACGTTTCCAGACGGTCCGACTGGTGCACATGAAACGCGAATTCAACCAGGCCGCAGATTACATGACATCGAAGACTCTTGTCCAAGGTGAATCCTGGACTGTTCAGGGTGATCTCGAGAAACGACACCTGGAAGTAGTGTCTAAGATTCGCGACCAGTTGGTGAAGCCGTCAGAAAGCACCGACACTCGGGGTCACAGTGGAGATCCAATACCCTCGTACAAGACCCTGGTGAAGAAGATGGCAATTCAGAAACGAGACATAGTCCTGGCCCTGAATGTGCCCCTCTACCTTCTGCCGCCCGAGTCATGGCTGTACTCACAAGATCGCGAGCTGAAGAAGCTGATGACGATAAAGTTGCGCCCATGTGACCGCTAGAGTTTCAGGCTGAACGCTGGAGACGGATCAAGGTGCATCAAGAGAGTGATGAGTATCTAGCAGAGATAAGGGCGTTCCTGAATGACGATCTGGACAGGTTCTCATCCACGCGCTTGAAGAAGATCAGTAGAGTCGCAGATCTGTTCGTTCTGGATGACCGAGGAGTGTTGTACAGACTTTCACACTCTGTACGTGGAAGACCACGAGACGCCGTGGATAATCTGAGGCTAGTAGTCCCGAGTTTACTCCGGGAAGACATGTTGCATCACACATGAAGATTTCCAAGGTGGACACCAAGGGATTACTCGGACGCATGAGAAGTTGCGTACCGAATTCTACTGGCCCGGCATGTATGCGGACGTCCAACATTTTGTGAAAGAATGCGTGGACTGTGCCATGGGAAAAGGAGCTCCCCCGAATGCTGGACCTTCGCCAGGAAACATCGAACCACGGTGTCCTTTCGAGGCAGTTTCTATGGATTTCGTGACTCACATGCCCGAGTCAGCCAGAGGGAATACTTTCCTCTTGTTGTTTCAGGACATGTTTTCAGGTTACGTGATGTGCAAACCCATGTCATCTACTACCGCGCAAGATGTCGCTGAAGCTTATGAAGAGCAAGTGTTCCAGAGATTCGGGCCGTCTTCTATGATACGACACGATCAGGATCCGCGGATCATGAGTGAAGTGTTCACAAGGTCCCGAGAACTCTTAGGTAGCCGACAACGTGCTACACTCGGGTACCGTCCACAGGCGAATGGACAGCAGGAGAGATCCGTACAAACAGTCATTCGGAGTGTTCGGGCATACGTCGCCGAGATGGATCAATCCGACTGGGATGATCACGCTGAGCGACTGATGTTCGCCCTGAATGTCTCGTTCGACGCGACTAGACTGGATACTCCTTTCTGTTTGGTTCATGGTTGGGATGCCCGAAGTACGGTTTCGGCAATGTTGGGGCCAAAACCTTCGAGCGTTCCTGAGCGTAGCGCCTATGAGTGGCGACGGAAGCTACAGCGTGAATATAGTTACGCGCATGCCTGCGCTGATGATCTCCAGAAGACGGCTAAGAAGATGCGCTCAGACGAACAAGGGTGGTGATGACGCGCGCTTGGGTTTGGCCTTGGATGATGAATCCGAAGCGGTGTCACGACCACGCTTTGCCTGTCGGGGAGGAGTAGTACGACTCTGAGGTTTACTTTGGCTATCGTCGCCTGGGGAGAAGGTCGCATCGCGCCCTTCATCGTCCTCCTCTTCTGTGACACTGTCGTAAAGTGCTGCCATAATTTCCACGGCGTCATCCTGGATGTCCTAGCGTAGATTGGGCCAACGAGTGGGAATTTCACCTGAAGTGAGAGCCTTGGCAAGTTTGGACTCGGCCTCCTTGTAACACCAACTTGGAACGTACTTGGCCCAAGGAGTTCTGTCGAGACGTTTCCAGTAGATGATGCACACTAACATGGAGATAAGATGTCGAGCATCCAGGTGTGAGTGAATCTCGGCGTCGGCCCGAGCTGCAGCGAGAGCCTCATCGTAGGACATGTGCGACCGCATGAGTTCCTGGATATCCGCACGAAGCTTGTCCCAAATGACAGGCTGAGTCGAGTCAAGCCCTCACGTGCCTTGACAGCAGAGAGTTGTTTGGCCGTCGTGGGATCCAGGGTGTCAGTCATGCTCGGAGCGTAAACACTGGGGCGAAGCTGAAAGTCCGTGAGAGCCTTGGGTTTAGACCCACTGACCAGCTTGCGTTGGATCTTGGCTGGGGTAGACTCAGTAGAGGAAGGTCCCGTGAGGTCCACCGTAGAAATTTTCAGGGCGACCTGAGACTTGGGTACGTCGGGGACCTTGGACTCTTCATCGTCACTCTCGACTTCGTATTCGTAAGCGCCCGGGCCTCATCGAACTCGTCGGCCGCATTGATCTGGATTTGTGTTTTCCAGGCGTCAGGTGGAAGTGAGCCGGCCTTGAACGTCTCCAGCTGTGCTTTCAGGCGCGGCCAATTGCCGCTAACCCGAGCGTTATGACGATTTAGGAAGTTCATCACACGACCAACCTTGAACGTTCCACCGCGCAGTCGATCTTCAAGTTGCCGGTTAACCAAGCGATATTCTTCAAGCTGACGCTGTAACTCGGCGTTCTCATCCCGAAGGACTTGCTCTTGGCGGCTGTGCTCCTCTGTTGCGCGTTGAAAATCGCAGTCACTTTCGGAGAGCCGACTCTGAGCCTGCTCTAAAATCTCAGCCACTTGTTGGTCGAAAGCCTTTTTGAGAAGTACGAAGTCACGACGTGCGCTGCGAGCATCGTCTGAAGAATTGCCCAA